TCATATCAGTGAGGTCATATGATACATGTCTTTCTCTGATTGACTTATTTCGCTCAGCATAACACCCTCCAGTTCCATCCACATCGTTGCAAATGGCAAGATCTCATTCCTTTTGATGGCTGCATAATGTTCCATTGTATATATATACCACATCTTCTTTATCCATTTATCTGTCAATGGACATCTTGGCTCTTTCCACAGTTTGGCTATTGTGGACATTGCTGCTATAAACATTGGGGTGCATGTACCCCTTCAGATCCCTACATTTGTATCTTTGGGTTAAGTACCCAGTAGTGCAATTGCTGGATCGTATGGTAGCTCTATTTTCAACTTTTTGAGGAACCTCAATACTGTTTTCCAGAGTGGTTGCACCAGCTTGCATTCCCACCAACAGCGTAGGACTACCTCCCCCTTTTAAATGATTTTATTCCTACCCTGAAGTTGCTCTGTTTTTGAGCTGTGGTTATTGGAGGCTCTCCTAGGAAGGTGCTGGGCTGATGGTGCTGGGGCTGGGAGGGCGGTCCTGTTTTCCTGTGCCCTCAGATGCTTCCAAGGAGCTGATGTCTTAGGAAAACACCTTTAGAAACTGTTACACACTCATTTAAATTAAATCTCCAAGTGGGGTGCACATGAGCCAGGAAAATGTCTGTGATTCAGAGACCCTTACTCTTAACTTCTTAGAGGCATGTGCTTTTATTTATTTACTTCTTATTATGGAACATTTCAAACATACACAAATGAAGAGAGAGTAATGTAATATATCTCTGTATACAGATCATGCCACATTAATGTTTTGTTATTTTAGAGGTATTTTGTAATGAATTTAAGCATGAAACACTTGGATTTTGTCTTTTCTTCTTCTTGGCATTATGTTTTAAGCATATTTTTCTCAATTGACATTACAAGTTTAGGTATGCCCTAGTAACTCCTGAAACTAGTTGTAAATGCACTGAGTATGAGATAGGCAGATTGCTCCTAGAGCAGTACTTGATGAATAGGTGAAGTCAAATATAGAATATTATTGGTAGGCTCAGCTTAGCCAATGAGGAACCTCTGCTTTCACTTATGGGAAGTGCAAATCTAGGTTATGAAACTGGTGGAAGCTAGATATAGTTTGGAAATGTTTTCTCCCCTTCTCTTTCTCTGTCCTTCCTCCACCCTCGATTTGTCTCCCCTTTCCGCTGTCCATCCTACAGATATTCATCAGCTCTGCATGTAACAGAGGATCACCCTAACAAGGTGGGAGCCTACCCTGCGGGAGGGTTGGGGGATGGCAGAACAGCCCGGACATAAATAGAATCTAGTATTGGCGTCAAGTTCTTGGCAGGTAGACTGAGTGATATGGCAGAGAGTAAGATGGGGACGTGCTCAATAGGGTGATTAGAAAAAAAATGCTGGTGATTTCAGACGTGCAGGGTGAGAAACAGCTGTGAGGAGAGTACTTTGGGCAAGGGAGCTGCACTTGCAGAGGCCCTGAGGTAGAAAAGACTGCGGTGAAGTGGAAACCCATAGAGGGAGTATGAATGGAAGGAAGCAGCAGTGGTCTAAGTAGGCACTAGATCTTGCAGGGCCTTGTAGATCTTGGGAAGGGGTTTGGAGCTTATTATTTAGTAAGCTACTGAAAGGCTTTAAGTAGGATCGTGACAGGATCTGCTTTGCCTTTTAAAAGATACCTGTCTGGGGCGCCTGGGTGGCTCAGTTGGTTAAGCGACTGCCTTCGGCTCAGGTCATGATCCTGGAGTCCCGGGATCGAGTCCCACATCGGGCTCCCCGCTCTGCGGGGAGTCTGCTTCTCCCTCTGACCCTCCCCGCTCTCATGTGCTCTCTCTCTCATTCTCTCTGTCTCAAATAAATAAATAAAATCTTAAAAAAAATAAAATAAAATAAAATAAAAGATACCTGTCTGCTATTAAAATTTCAAAAATTCTTTTTTTTTTTTTAAAGATTTTATTTATTTATTTGACCGAGAGAGAGAGAGAGTGAGAGCAGGAACACAAGCAGGGGGAGTGGGAGAGGGAGAAGCAGGCTTCCCGCCGAGCAGGGAGCCCGATGTGGGACTCGATCCCAGGACCCTGGGATCATGACCTGAGCCGAAGGCAGACGCTTAACGACTGAGCCCCCAGGCGCCCAAAATTTCGAAAATTCTTAAAAAAAAAAAAGATATCTGTCTGCTCTGCGGAGAATGGCTTTCCGGGAGTGAGAGGGGAGGTGGTTTAAAGGCTCCTGGAGGAGTCCAGGTGGCTCGAATTAGGATGATGGCAGCGGGAATGGAGAGGAGTGGTTGATTTCAAGGTATGTGGGGACAGTAGACTCAATAGGATTTGCTAATAGCTAGGGCGATGGTTGGTATCTGGGCTTGGCTGGTTATATAGTACTAAAGTGGGGAAGCCAGGGAGAGTTGAGTAAATTGGAGCTCAGCTTTGGTTTTCTGTAGAACACTGGAGATTCCGAATGAGTATTTGGACATATGTGTCTGGAGCTCAGAGAGTAAGACCTCATAATATTGGTAGTACTCATCGTCACAAATTTGCATGACATCACCTAGGAAGAGAATGTCAGATGCATGTGGGGAGCAGAGAGAACTCAGCACTCGCTCCAAGAAGGCCCAGGTTTAGTTGATGTGGTTCAGGAGGAGCCAGCAGACTGAGAAGGACTGGATTGAGGGAAGGAGAACCAGGAGAGCGTGTCACAGTTGCTGAGAGAAGAAAACACTTTGAGGATGAGGGACAGTTTCCTGAGTCAGTAGGGGCCTTAGATTGGGTTAGGTGATCGGAAGGTCACAGTGGCCTGGCCAACAGCCACGTTAGTGTGTTAGGATAGATGGTAGCAAGATTGGGGAGGAAGTGAGGAGTGGCATGTGTGGACCAGCCTCTGAGATGAGACATCTTAACTGTGAAGGGGGCAGAGAAGGGCTGAGGGGTGACTAGAGGTTTTCTTTTCTTCCTGGCATGGAGCATTAGAGTGTGTTTGCGTGCTGCTCAGAGGGGATGGAGTACCAAAGGAATACTGAAGGTTTTGTGTTATGAAGTGGGTGGGAGGGGAGATCTGGAAGCCTCCGGGAAGGGATTTCCCTTTGTCTGAAGGATGGGAGCAGATGCACGCAGGTGGTGGGAAAATAAAGGAAGTTCCTGGCACCCTCACATGGCTCTGCTTAAGTAACTTTATATTCTCTCCTGGCTCTTGTGTTCTTCAGTTTTCTGAATGTGAGTAGACATCCAATTTGTATTAAAGAAACGAGGAGGCAGGAGTTTACTGCTACTTGTTGTCCGTGGAGATGCATCTTCTTTAAGGAGAGAAGGTTTAGAAATAGCACAGGGTATACACAGATGCTTACAAAAAGTCACACTCATTTTGTCAAGGGTAGTACTTTCGAAATATTGTTAATATTTTTTGAAAAGTGGAGGTCTAAGCTGCAAGAGAAGGAAAGGGGCATGGGGATGCTTATTTCATGAGGTTCTCTCAGTGTGAATGCTGGAACTTCTCCCAAGTTGCTTTTAGGTTCAGCCTTAAACTTGACAATGTAACTTGTTGGAGTCCTTTTCCTCTGCCCTTTGAGGGGGTTTTTGTTTATTAAGTGTGAAAGACTGAGTCATGTGGAAGGGGCATGGGAGATTGCTGTAAGCAGGTTAGACTGTCATCCCCCAAGACCACAGGGACTTTGTTTTGTTCACCACTTGATAAGTGTGAATGAGTAAATAAGTGAACTCTTAAAGTAAGCACACTATATTAGTAGTCATGGACAGTAAAATGACTCCAGCATTTTCAAAATTTTCAAAAATTTCCTTTTTTGTCCAGAGACCAAATTCTTAAAACATGCAAATTAGAACACAGTGAGATACCATGACATACTCAGTAGATTTGCAAAAATGTTTAAATCTCACTGTAGGAAGTAGGTGTGTGGAGCCATGGGATCTTTCTTCACCGATGCTGGGTGTGAGATGGTACAACCACTTTGTGAAAGTTCTGTCTGCTTTACAAGGTGTATGTGCTCATCCCGACCTCCGCTGGACTGTGGTGGGGAGGCTGGCTCTGCCATCTTCCAGGCTGTGGCCATAAGGTTCCTGGAGCCCAGAGGGGCCATGGGGTCTGATGGTGAGTGAGCAGGTGGCTCCTCTGGAATGAGGAGTGTGAACTTCGAATTCTAGTACTTTATCTTCCTTTGTGCTTTAATTTGTTAGTGACTGTGTTCTGGATCTTAGAATGCTCTGTATTTTCTTTTCTTTTGCTGCTAAAGGTATGGCTCCCAAAAAGACAGCAGTCTAACTAAAGACAAACAGATACATTGTCTTTGATGAAATAAGTCTTCCCCACTGCATACTTGGCCATCTGAGGCAGAAAATTGACAAATAATTGTAGACTTTCTCTCTTATTTTTATTTTATTTATTACTATTATTATTATTATTATTTTTTTTTTTTTAGAGAGAGAGAGGACGGGGGCTGGTAGGGAGAGGGAGAGAGAATCTTAAGCAGGCTCCACGCTCAGCGCAGAGCCTGATGGGGGCTCGATCTCACGACCCATGAGATCATGGCCTGAGCTGAAATCAAGGGTCAGACACTTAACCAGCTGAGCCACCCAGGTGCCCCTCTATGTTTAACTTTTTTGAGAAATTGCCAAACTGTGTTTCCAAAGTGGTTGTGTCATTTGACATCCCCACTAGCAATGTATGAGAGTTGCAGTTTCTCCACAACTTTGCTGACACTTGCTAATATCTCTCTCTTTCTTTTTGTTTATAGCCATACTTGTGGCTTTAATTTGGGAAATAGATATTAAAACACAATGAAATGCAAAGAAAAACAAGACTGCACACAAAGAAAAACCACAGTGAGATGACGTACACAGCCATCAATTATGCCAGTATTTAACAGTTGACTGTAGAAAATGAGTAGATGCAGGTCTATTAATTTTTATGACTCAGAGATGATTTTGGCTTTTTAAGTGATTTTTATTTTATTTTATTTATTTATTTATTTTCAAAGATTTTATTTATTTATTTGACAGAGAGAGAGACAGCGAGAGAGGGAACACAAGCAGGGGGAGTGGGAGAGGGAGCGGCAGGCTTCCCGCCGAGCAGGGAGCCCGATGCGGGGCTCGATCCCAGGACCCTGGAATCATGACCCGAGCCGAAGGCAGACGCTTAACGACTGAGCCACCCAGGCGCCCTTAAGTGATTTTTATTGAGGTGAGGTTGCCTTATTTTAAAAAAACCATTTTTGGGGGTTTATTTTTGCTTATGTTCCCTTTCTCGCTGTCTCTGTCAAATAAATAAAATCTTTAAAAAATAAATAAATAAAAATAAAATAAATAAAAAATAAACCTTTTTTAAGTAAACCCTACACTCAATGTGGGACTGGAACTCCTCACCCCAAGATCAAGAGTCTCATGTTCTACCAAGTGAGCCAGCCAGGCGCCCCAGCTGAGTTTGCTTTAGGTTTTCATTTTGGGGTCCTCCAACTTCATAATTTCTCTCTGCTGTATTGAAGTTCATGCCAGCTGTGTCTTTATTCATTCACTCACTCCATCAGTACTCACTGAGGGCCTGTCTGCTCTCAAGAGTCCAGTCCTAAGGGAGCCTAGGACACCCCTGTCAGGCACTGGAACATGGGATTTTGTGATGTGGGTAGAAAAAATGTAAAATGGCTGTACAGTTCAAAGGTAGACTAGATGTGCTGTTTTTCAGAGCTTTTTACCAAGGAATACCTGTCACCCTATGACAACTCTCAGGTGAATTTTTAATTTATTGTTCAGTGATTCATTGGCTCGTGGTTCTAAAAACTTTCTGTGGTATAGAACCCCTCTCCCCATGTTGATATTATTGAGTTTTAGTAAACTGATACAGTCATCTGTCACCAGAATTTAGTTTTAGAACACTTCCATCACCCCCCCCCCCAAATAATCTTGTGACCAGTTACCAATAACCCCTGCCTCTGCCCTAGCGTTGGGCAACCACTGATGGCTTTTTTTTTTTTTTTAAGATTTTATTTTTTTAAGTAATCTCTCCACCCAACTTGGGGCCCAAACTCACAACCCCAAGATCAAGAGTTGCATGCTCTGCCAACTGAGCCAGCCAAGTGCCCCTGTAAGCTTTTTTCTCTACAGTTTTGCCTTTTCTGCAAATTTGATGTAAATAGAATCATTCAGTATGTAGTCTTGTCTGTCTGGCATATTTCATTTCATATGATGTTTTTGAAATTTATCCTTGTTATTGCATGTATCAGTAGTTCACTCATTTTTATTGCTGAGAATTATTCCATTGTGTAGATACACCATATTTTGTTTATCCATTCACTAATTGATGGACATTTGGGTTGTTTCCTGTTCATGCCAGTGAACACTTGTGTAAACGTCTTTGTATGGATATGTTTTCATCCCTCTTTGGTAGATAGCCAAGAGTGGAATTACTGGGTTGTATGGTAACTGTATTTAAACATTCAGCTCTTAAGAAGTTCTTCTTAAGGAACTGCCAAACTATTTTCAGAGTGGCTGTCCCATTTTCCATTTGCACCAGCATGGTGTGAGAGCTGCAGTTTCTTGTGAACACTTGCTATTGCTAGTCTTTGACTTTACCCGTTTTTGTTGGTTCGTAATGATATTTCCTTGAGGTTTTAATTTGCTTTTCTTAATGACTAACGAAGTATCGGGGCACCTGAGTGGCTCAGTCGTTAAGCGTCTGCCTTCGGCTCAGGTCATGATCCCAGGGTCCTGGGATCGAGCCCCGCATCGGGCTCCCTGCTCTGCGGGAAGCCTGCTTCTCCCTCTCCCGCTCCCCCTGCTTGTGTTCCCTCTTTCACTGTGTCTCTCCCTGTCAAATAAATAAATAAAATCTTAAAAAAAAAAAAATGACTAACGAAGTATCTTTTCATGTGCTTATTTGCCATTCATACATCCTCTTTGTTGAAGTGACTTCACATCTTTTGCCTATTTAAAAAAAATTGGATTGTTTATTGAGTTGTGAGAGTTTTTTTTTTTTTAAGATTTTTTTAGAAAGAATGAGAGAGAATGAGAGTGGGGGAAGGGCAAAGGAGAGAGAGAGAGAGAGGGGAAGCCAATTCCCTGCTGAGCAGGGAGCCCGGACACAATGTGACCCTGAGATCATGACCTAAGCCAAAACCAAGAGTCGGAGGCTTAACCGACTGAGCCATCCTGGCGCCCCTCTAAGAGTTTTTATATACAAATCCTTTATGACATAAATGTTTTGCTGATTTTTCCCCCAGTTTGTGACTTGTCTTTTCTTTTTCTTAATAGAATCTTTGAAGAGCAAAAAGGCTTATTAAACTTTGATACAATCCCAGTTTATTGAATTTTTATTTATTGTTTGTGCCTTTTTGGGGGTCATATCTAAAAAATCTTTGCCAATCCTAGGTCAAAAAAATTTTCTCCTATTTTTTCCTAGATGTTTTATAATTTTAGCTCTTTTTTTTTTTTTGGTAATATTAGCTCTTACATTTAGGTTTGATTCATTTTGAGTGTTTATGTATGGTGTGAAGTAAAAGTTGAGGTCACTATGGTGATGTTTATCCTGTTACTCTGACTTCTCTGTTGGATCTAGAAGTTCCATCCAATTCTGGTTTGATTTCCACCCCCCCCCAACTTTTTCATAGTCGGTGTTGTATTTCCATCAGGGGACACATAATGTTTCAGGTTGTCTTTTTTTTTTTTTTTTAAGATTTTATTTATTTGAGAGAGCATGGGCAGGGGAGGGACAGAGGAAGAGGGAGAGCTGAGCACCGAGCCAGATGCAGGGCTCAATCCCAGGACCCCAAGGACCCTGAGAGCATGATTTGAGCTGAAGTCAGACACTTAACCGACTGAGCCACCCAGGTGCCCCTCTGGTTGTCTTTTGTTTTCTGATTGATGTAAGCTGTTATTGATGGTCAACACTTAGATCCATTAATTGATTTTATTAGAGATTCTGTCATTCCCTCATCATTTATTAGCTGGATTACTTTTGTTAAAAGAAACATCTCTTTCTCTTCTATTTTGTTATCCAGTGGTATAGTTGTGTATGATCTCTTTAGTTACAAATGCAGTGACTCTATTAACAAGTTGTTTGTGGTAGGTATTTTTTCTAATGCACCATTTCCCAGCTGAATTGGCAGACAAACAGTTTCAACTAATTAGCAAATTGAGGGTTTTTTTCCTCTCTGCATTAATGTCTTCTGAACAAACCCTTCTGCTGGAAACTCTGCTTAAGAGTGTTCTTCTTTGCTTCTTCGTTTGTAGGCAAAGACTGTATATATGGTGAATTATTGGTTTATAAGAGCAAATTACAATCCTGACTGTATTTTTTTCCAGCATACTATTTTGTAATGAGCATAGAGTAATTGCTTGCTTCTTTTTTACAGCTTTGATTTATGATGCTGCCATCTCTTATGCTGCTTTATTGTGATGAAATGGTTTTCTGTTCTTTCCTTGATTTTAACTATAAATAAGAAAAGTTAGAGTTGATGTAAATTTGATTGTGCTTTTACTATTAGTACTTTTTGCTTTTTGTATCTTAGTCGTTAACACCATTTTCACAATTCTTCCCAAATGGGATGATGATTTTTTTTTTTTTTTTGGCTGTCATTGTATCTGTTTTAAACACTAACCTAATGTCACAATAACTTTGTAGCATGTTGTAAGTAGATATACCTCAAATAAAAGGATCTATATGTAGCAGATGCTCAGAGTGGTTAGAGCTAAGTAGATGGAGGGGACGTGGGTGGAGGAGGTTTGTGTACTAATTGATCAGCCTAGAATTAGCCCTTGGAGGTATAGAACTTTAGTGCCAGCACATAAAGATTGTGTGTTTTGTAGGTAACTGCTGTGAATATAGCAGGCATTTAAATAGTGCAGCAGAACAGCCAGTCTGTGTCACATATTTAATAGGTCAGATTTAAAAGTAATTTGTTTTAAAATGGACTTGTATGTGTTATGTAATGCATCAGATGTAACAGCTATGCCACAAATAAAAAGTACTGCTAAAGCGGAGCGCCTGGCTGGCTTAGTTGGCAGAGGATGCGACTCTTGATCTCAGGGTTGTGAGCCCTGAGAAATTATCCCCATTAATTTCATTCTGCAGGCCATAGACTGTGGGGGCTTCCTGCAGCCAGGCATTGCATCCAAGTCATAGAGACTGAGGAAGGGCCTGGCCCTGAGGCGCAGGCAGGCTGGGGTGCTCCTCTGGAAGGTCCTGCAAGGTGCTATGGTCATTTCCCAGGAGGGGAATTGTGTATTTAGTTACTTTTCTCTTTATGTTTTAGTGTATGCGGATCTACCTATGATTTTTCTTAGTTTCTCCTGAAAGGTAGTCTGCTTTTGCAAAATGATTGGTAATTTTTTTTTTCTTTTTTCCTGGAAAGGCAGTGCTCAGACTTGGGAATCTGAAAATTAAAAAATCACAAACCAAGCTGCAGCCAACTTAGATCACCTGAGAATTGGCTCCTTTTCCTCCTGTGCTTTTGTTTCCATTCAGCTCTCCACTTCTGCAGTTATAACCTCATATGCTTCCTGAGATCCTGCCAGGAGAGCCAGCTTCTTCCCAGACTCGGGGATTAATCTTCACCCTGACAGAGATACACACATGAATTGCTGAAGTGTGGCAGTAACTCACTAGTGTGGCCTCAAAGTCAGTCTTACTGTTGAGTCTTTTTGACCTTGGTAATAAGGTTTCCAATAACTGGATCCTTGCTGTTTCCCCCAATTATATAATGATTAAGTCAGTGCCTTGAACTCCTGAATACCAGTGGCTAGATTTTGTCCTTGAAACTTAATTTCCCTAATATCTGTTCTGAGTTTCTACATAGGCCACCAGCCTGTTTGCTTGTAACTGTTAATTACTCTGCACTCTGCATTATCTTGACCTACATAGATTGTCCTTTCTCACACAAATAAATCTCTCAACTTTAGAGTTAAGTTCTCATTCCTTTTTCTCTTCCTTCCAGACATTTATTGAGTATCTATTTGGAACTGGGACTAGAGAGAGAAAATAACCAAGACCCTGCCTTTAAGAGTAACTGTGGGTATCAACACCAAAATTCCTCCCCCCCCACCCCAGTTTTATTGAGATACAGTTGGCATATAACACTGCCAATTAGTCCAAGGTGTATAACATAGTGATTTGATACATGTTTATATTGCAAAATGATGACCACAATAAGTTTAATGTCTATCACTTAACATATTTACACATTTTTGTTC